CTCTTTGCGTCGACTAGAAATTCATATTGATGAGATAGTAGAAAGACGACAAGTCTCCACATTGATTACGATACCAAGCGAAATCGAACAATTTATTTTTGATTCAGGCTCCACAATTAGCTGGAATGATTTTTCACGTGAAATGTCTAACTTTAGTCGTATTCGTTTCCTTAGCATTGGCTTGCTTGATCGCAATCAGAAACTTATACCATCATTCAATTTCCTGAATGTTCGCACTCTCACTCTTGGACTACTTGAAGTTTCTTTTAACTGGATTATTAAACTAGTAGCAAGAGCACCATGCCTCGTAAAACTGAAGCTAACCGGTCTTGTAGACGCTGATGGCTTTGTTGTTAATCAAAGGTGGATTTGCCTTTTTGAGTCTGCCTCAACACTTCTACGGATATTTGTTAATGTATATTTAGAACAATGTGACGAATCCTATCATCTTGAAAATATCCAAGCACCATTACGTGTTCTTAATCTGAGTCTTATATGCAATGATGATGACACTGATTGCACTTTGTCCTGCGAGAAATTAAATCGATGGTGGAACTTGAGAGGGATGGTGATCAAAAAGTAAACTCATAGGTGACCAATCGAAAAAAATTTGGAATGGCAGTTGGTAATACACTGCGACAGACTCCAATTACTATATCTTATGTGCTTTTCACTATTTATCAAAAATGTTTTGTGTAAAATTAGTACAGCATCTATAACGTATAGTAGAAATTTTACGACTACCATTGTTCAAATTATCTCAAATCGTCGTAATTTTGTATTTTTTTTATTCAAAATAAAAATCTATTAAATTCGACATTCTTGAAACTGTTTTGTAAATAATGTTGTTTGTAGCTTATTTCCATTCGCTTAACATATTGCATTTTAGATCAAGAATTTTTAGTTGTTAATTTGTTGAAAACATTTGCATTAGCTTCATTTAATATTGTGTAAGATTAATATGAATAATCAATGCATATTTTGTACACGGTGGGCTGCGACAGCTTGTTGCATAAGCTGTCGTGCGATGGATAGATCTACAATGTTCGCGACTTTTTTAACGCAACTTGGAAAAGCATCTATCGTCGATAATTACTATGATCAAATTAAGGCTCTTTGTCAACAAATTGAAACCGTAAGTCTACTTCTTACATGTATTAAGTGGTATTCTGTTCTAATGGTTTAGCTGCAGTGGCTTTTAACACCAATTCACTTTGTACCTGTCACTCATTTTGATCCAGCCGTTCATAAAATTGATCAAAAAGCCAAAATATATCTTCCGCAAACATCTTTCGATATTCAAGATATGATTTCAGTTGACGTCATTGAAGATGGGAATTGTCTCTATAATTCCATTGTATGTTTGATCGGCAGTACAGTGTTAACACCTAGTGAGCTGAGAGGTAAGTTCCGATGACGTTAGTATAAAATTATTTAATTGTCATTCGTCTAGTGCGAACTTTAATGGAACTGGTAAAGAATGACATTTTCTACAGCCATCGTTTTTCACGTATTGTTGGATCACTCAATGAAGCGATAAAAAGCATTGCCCTCAATTTTTCATTCTCAGAACTATATGAAATTGCAGCTTTGAGCAATGTTCTCAAATGCAACATACGAAGTATTTATCCCAGAATTGATTATCGACCCGATCTAGACATCATGAATAGTACTTTTGAGCATGCTCAATCTAGTATTTCATCTAAAACAATTCATATATTCTGGTCACATACTCAAAGTGAAATATATGCCCGTAGAAACAATGCTGGTAATTGGTCACCTAATCATTTCGTACCACTTTTACTTCCGTCGAACGAATCTCAGTATCAAAATAGCATGACTGAACCGAAAGCCACTGGTTCAGGCTTGGTGAGTTCAATCTTTTAGTACAGAGCTTTTTACAAAAAAAAAAATACTTTCGCTTACAGACGCCAACTAAATCGACAACGAAGAATAACATACAAACTCAAGTTCGCATTCCTGAATTTAATGCGGAGGATGACGAAACTCAACAATTTCAAATGTCATCGACACTTTCCACGGTAAACCAGGAAATCGCAACAACTCCTCGAACTAAGCGAAGACTACAAGTAACTGAGAACTATACGAATGTTGAAAATACAAATATGGATCGGAGACGGCAAAAAGCTCGTGAAAGTATGGCCGCTAAACGAGCTCAAGCTACACCAGAAGAAGCTGGAAGACAACGCACGCTTGCCAGAGAAAGGAGTGCTGCCAGAAGAGCTACCATTACACCAGAACAAGCTGGAAGACAACGCACGCTTGCCAGAGAAAGGAGTGCTGCCAGAAGAGCTACCATTACACCAGAACAAGCTGAACGAGAGCGCACCCTTGCACGAGAAAGAAGTGCAGCTAGAAGAGCTGCCTTAACACCAGAACAAACTGAGAGAGAGCGTAGTCTTGATCGTCAAAGAAAAGCAGCTAGAAGAGCTGCCTTAACACCAGAACAAACCGAGAGAGAGCGTAGTCTTGATCGTCAAAGAAAAGCAGCTAGAGGAGCTGCCATAACACCAGAACAAACTGAGAGAGAGCGTAGCCTTGATCGTCAAAGAAAAGCAGCTAGAAGAGCTGCATTAACACCCGATGAAATCGTACAACAGCGAGCAATTACTCGTGAGCAAACAGAAGCTTGGCGTGCTACTTTTTCATCGAAAGAAATCGAATATCAGCGAGTGCTTGCTGCCGAAAAGAGCATGAGTAAACGAGCTACTGCATCACCCAAAGAAGCTGAAGAACAACGTGTAGTAGCTCGCAAAAGAAGTGCCGCAAGACGAGCTGCTTACAAATTTGATGAACTCGAACGTCAGCGCGCATCTGCTCGTCAGAGAAAGCAGCTTCGAAAAAGTGGCAAACACCAACACGAAACGATGAAAACAAAAGTACAAGAAAGTAACGACTTTGAATGGCCAAAACCTATTGATATTGAACATAAGAAAAACTGTCTAAAGAACTTTATTCAACATATGTCGATGAGTTTTCTGGAAGAAGGTGTTTGCGGTATTTGTAACATTCGTTGCTATAAACGTGATCTCCGCCACATACCGTTCAGTAAAATACCATCTATTGAATTACTAAAAGTACCTGAGGACTTTTATGACATTATTTCTGGAATGCAAGAAATGAACCAGTTCCAGTCACATGATAAGCTTAATATGCGAGACGATCTTGCCACGGCTTTGATTCAAAAAGAAAGAACAACAGGTTAGTGTCGCTGATACTTAAACTAATACAGTAAATAATTTTTTTTTATTATAGATACGAATGCTCAACCAACAATAAATAAACAGTCGTTTACTTGTGCGAACAGTATCGTTTTTTATACAGCAGGATTGCATAAAACTGTTCAGAGAAAAAGACAATATTCGGTTCACTGTGATATTTGTTCAGAGTGTTGGTCGTCTCTAATAAAAGAGAAAATACCGAAATTTTCGCCTGCCAACAAAATATGGGTTGGGGATGTTCCAGAACAACTACACGGATTAACAATTCCTGAGCAAAAACTGATTGCTCTTTATAGGCATAATAGCTGCATTGTCAAGTTACATTCGCCTTTTCATTCGACAAGTACGGCTCAATCAGCTTTAAAGGGAAATTGCATAAGTTTTCCCCAAGATGTTATCAACATAGCTACTACCTTACCACTAGATTTAGATGATCTATGTGATTCTCTAAAGATAATCTTTGTTGGATGTCGTCCTCCGCAACGAAACCAATTAAAAAATGTTTTAACTGTTCGGAAAAAGAAAGTTTTCGAAGCACTTCAATGGCTTAGACAGAATAATCCTTTGTATCGCAATGTTACAATTAATCAATCAATAATCAACAAATTACCTGACGATGATGTACCGGAGTGTTTGTGGGCAACTATGGAAATTTCTACTAATGTAGAAGCAGCTGAAAATGAAAGAGCAAGTTACATTCCTGATCCGTTGATCAATGCATCTGAATTTAACAATACAACAGCTATACCCATAGTCTCAAGGTAAGACAAAGAGACATGTAGATATTCTTGCACTAATATTGTTTATGTTATAGTGCTGTGTTAGATGTCAATGGTACCTAAGTGTCGTCTGATGAAGTTGCTGAACATCTTTTAGAACGAATCAAAGCACAAGTGCCAGAAAAAACACACGGAAAAGATACCGAGCAAAACTCTAAACAAGACACTGTATACATAATTCCTCGTGGCAACAAACCGGCCAATGAATATTCTAATCCAAATCTTTTATTAGGAATCTTTCCCACCTTATTCCCATATGGATGTGGTGGGCTTGAGGATGGTTCTCGACCGATTCAAATCAATTTTCGTGAGCATCTCAGATATCTTCTTTCGTATGCAGATCGCCGCTTTGAAGAACACTACTCATTTATATTCGTTGTCTTCAATATTTTACAACGCCGAACAGCATGTTTCCACGCCCAATTAATGACAACAAGATCGTGGTTTCAACAATCTGCACAAGTTCTTAACTCATTGAGTTCTGAAGATGTAGCAGCAGCCCTTATTAATATCTCAAAAGCGCCTTATTCAAAAGTTACTGACGAGAGAATAAATACGTTGATGAAGTACATCAAAATTATTGGTGGTCACGTCATGGGTTCAGCTCATCCCCGATCAGCTCTTCGTACGAAAATTCATTCTTTATGTTTTTATCTTGGTCTTCCTAGCCTTTTCGTCACAATCAATCCGGCTGACATCCATAGTCCAGTGGCACTTTACTTTGGAGGTGTCGATCTCGATCTTGATAACGTTCTGCCAGAAGTCCTGCGTACAAGTTATGAGCGTGCTCAAATTGTCGCGACACACCCTGTTGCAACTGCAAAGTTCTTCAACTGTTTAATAAAAAGCATTTTGAAAAGCCTAGTGTTGGGCGGTGTACTTGGTCCTGCAAAAGCGTATTTCGGCACTGTAGAGAGTCAAGGAAGAGGATCGCTCCATTTACATCTCTTGATTTGGCTCAATCATGAATATACTCCAGCACAATTGAAAGAAAATATTCAAAATCAAGATTTTCGTGAAAATTTACTAAAATATTTAGAAGATATTATAAAAGAAGATTTAGATTCGTTTCGAGGTAAAATATTTAACATTGTTCGAATCTGTCATTTGAAGTTGTTACATTTGCCTACTTGATCCTGTTTTACACCCTATTAGTGCATCACTCCCTTATCTTGAACTTGAGCTTTCAGAACATTTTAAAACTTTCATTAATCCAAAGCATACTCCATTCCGATTACCTATTCTTACTATATATTTATGAGACTTCTATTTTTTGTACTTTTGAATATCAATATTCTTTTTCAAGATGAAACCAACGACGGAACAAGTACGACAAGTGATACTAGAACATTAATTGTTGAGCTTTGAAGTTCTTAGTAGATCTTTAATTATAATTCTCACTTCATCTTAGGAGAAATTGGATCGACAGCAACTGAAGTTATCCCACCATGTCGCCCAACACCAAATCCTGCATTGGAAGACTTCGATCAAACGTTTCGCAAAGATGCAGTTCAATTGGTCGAAACCTGCAATATTCACAAGCATTCTGCAGCTTGCTATAAATATTCTAAAGGCAAAAATGAAAGTTCAAAAATTTGTCGAAGACGCATGCCACGTGCACTAGTGAAGGTTTCTAATATTGATCCTACGACGGGACAAATAACTATGCGTCGATCGCACCCGTGGATCAATAACTTCAACGAATGGCTCTTAACTGCATGTCGATCAAACATGGACATTAAGTTCATCTGGAGTGGAAATGACGCTAAAGCATTAGTTTACTATATAACTGATTATGTAACAAAGTCTACTCTGGCCTTCTATGATATGTTTGCGCTGGCACAACAAGGCATCAAGTCTATCGAGCATGAACGAATTTCTAATAGCACAGATAATATTGTTGGCAAATCGCGTAAACTAGTGTTACGCTGCTTTAATATGATTGCTTCACAACAAGAAGTTTCAGGTGTTCAAGTAGCGTCATATCTAATGAACTATGGTGACCACTACACTACACATACGTTCAAAAATCTTTTTCTCATTTCAATCGAAAACTATCTACAAACAGAACTAAATAAAGCACGAATTAACGAAAAAGAAATTGTTGAAGAGAGGATAGATGGTAAAACTTTTTAAAGTAATTGTGTAGATTTTTAATATGTAGTTTTCTAGAGACTTCAACGCCTTTCTACGATCAACAAGGAGAAGATAAAAACGAAATTGAAGAACAATTTTTATTAGAACCTACAAAAACCAACAGCGGCGATCAGTATGTCTTGGTCAATACTCGTCTTGACTATCAGCATCGATCAATGGATCTAAATGCATTGTGTTTATATGACTTTGTGAGCCATTTTCACAAGAAGGTTATCGATAAATCGGATCGTCATTTACTAAAGAATGTAACCGATTCTCAGGGCCAACAATTACCTACAGAAGGAACGAAAATGAATGAACGTCATACATTTGACAGCGTACATCCACAATCAACATCTCATCTCATAATTAAACGTTCCATTCCAGTAGTACCAGTTCTGATAGGTCCTCAAATACCTCGCCGCGAACGAGAAGAAACACATGAACGTTATTGTCGCGCGTTGTTAACATTATTCGTGCCATGGCGATCAGTCCAGAACCTTTGTGCAACGAATGAGACATGGTCTGAAGCATTGGAAGCTCGAAGGCTGTTGATCTCTCCCAACTCGCTTAAGATTATAGAAAATATAGAACTTTTGCACGAATGCAAACACGATCGGGATGAACATCTTCATCAAGTTCTTTTAGAAGCCCAAAACGACAACAGCATTGACCCTATTTTGATGCCTAATTACTATGAAGGCGACGAAAATGCAGAAGAAGGCGATCCTGAACAACTTTTGCAAATGCTCTCCATCGTAAATGAGATCACGACAAACACTTACTCTGCATTGGCCGCTACTCAAGAACAACGCTATGTTCATGATGCATTACAAGCAATTGATAATACAGATAGATTTGCATTACTAAATGGTGAGTTAATTACTATTATATTTCGAAAATATTTTGTTTTGATTTAGACAGCAGACACATTTGGGACCAAAATAATTATGGCACCATACACGACATCAACACATTTGTGGTAGCTCACGCACATCACAGCGTCATGATTAAAGGATGGAAACGTGACATTGAAGGTCGACGAGATGAAGCAAGAAACTATTTAATTTCAGGTGAAAATACTCTGGAAGTGCGAGATGATGAAACACAGATTGAAGTCGTAGCAACTGAAATTCCAACAAGTCCCATTAAAACGAGAGCTACAAGAGTTCCACCTGTGACTACAACCAATGCAATATTATTTCCAACAAAACAAGATATTATCAGACAATTTACACTAAGCACTCAGCAAAAATATGCTTTTATGATTATAACTAGTCACTTAGATGGCGAAAATCATGCTTATACCGGTATATAATATTTTATTGATTTTGTTATTGAAAATTTTGAATAGTCTTGATATTTAGATACTATCGATAATCAGTTATTAATGTGCATACCTGGTTGCGGTGGTACTGGAAAATCTCAGTTGATTCGTGCAATTACCAAATATTTCCAAGTAACCAAGAGGGACAAGATGTTGCGTAAACTGGCACCAACGTCTATAGCAGCAGCTGAAATTGATGGATTAACTATCCATTCATTTTTAGGTGAAAGTCGCAAAAACAGTAAAAAGAAACAAACCCGTACATTTAGACCTGGCGATACAAAATTGGAAAATGAATGGCGTCATGTGAAGTACTTGATAATCGATGAGATGAGTATGGTAGGACTTAGCCTATTAGCTCGTCTCAATCGAATAGTGAAAACAGCCAAGCACGTAAATTCTGAGACACCTTTTGGTGGTGTCAATGTCATTTTCTTTGGCGACTATCTTCAATATTCTCCTGTTTTAGACAAGCCTCTCTACTATAGCTGCGCATCGACACAGCAAATTACAGAACGTCAGATAGATATGTTGTGTGCACAGAAGCTTATGTCTGAAATAAACTGCGTTGTTGAATTAACTCAGCAAATGCGAACCGAAGACATAAGATATTTGGAGCTTTTAAATAGATTAAGACATGGACAATCAACAATAGAAGATTACCAACTTCTGTGTACGAGAGTCATAGGAAATCCAAAACTTCAAGTATCTCTACAACAAAAGCCATGGAACGAAGTATGCAC